TATGTAACATACGGTCGTGACAACTGTCCACTCCATCTCCCTGTGAGATGATGAACATATCTGTCATATCTTTAATGCCTTTCAACACATGTCTCAGATTCTGTACCCTGACTTTTCAATTATCTATTTGCTCTCCAGGCTGAGCAGTTGTCCACCATGACTCTGCAGTGTGATATGATGAGGAAATGCAAAGACCAGGCATTGAAGCAAATTGAGGAGCAGCTTTGTCAGCAGAGTGACCTCATGGATCGTCTGGTGGGTTAAAGCCTGAATAAACATTGCCCATCTCTCTGGTTTCATATTGTGATCATGTACCGTGTGTAGCGCATTTCCAGGAAGCAGTAAGTGTTGCTAGTTCAAAAGCGTGTACATTTTTTAAACATCAAATGGCAAGATTAGCAGTCACTTTTGGCGCACAAAATTAAACAACCAACTAGGATTAGATACATCTCCGATCAGTCTTCTTGTCACAGTTCATGCCATTTCATTCAAACTTGCACTTTTTTATTGTTGCTGCACAAAGACACAACAGTGAAATTGGTAACAAAATGTCATTGCTGGCCACTGGAGCACACAGAGGACAAAAAAACTTATAGTACAATATAGTTAAATTCAGTTCATTTGTTTAGTGTCATTTGGGAAAATTTTATCAAAGAGCCTTTGATAACAGCATGCTAGCTCACCATGCTGAGCTAGCATGGTCTGCTTTTGAGTTAAAGTAGCTGTATGGTCATGCTGCCATTTTCTACAAAATGCTTATGAATGTAGAAACCCGGTCAACAAATGAGAAGTAATAGTTTTTGTTCCAAATACATATATGTATTTATTTTGAGAAGATTAGATTAGAATATAATTTCTGTGGTATGATGAGCTCTGAATGGAAACGGGGTCAAAGACTAGTTTTGCTTGTTTGTCTTTGTGTTTGTTGGGAGAACGTCACATGGTTGTTTTTCTGCTAGGCCAGGATCAAGAAGGAATCTAAAGAAGAAGAGCAACAGTTCCTCCAGGAGATCACCAAATTCAACACTGACTTCAGCCTGGCAGGGAACAGTGCAGCTGGGCTGGAGAGCCAGACTCACGCTGAGATCCTGGCCCTGCACAGGGAGGTGGAAGCTTTACTCAAAGGTAATAAAAACTGCTTTGTTCCTATTCAAGGCATTTATTTTATAAGTAATTTCGTTATGACTTCCAGAGCTTTTCATTATGTTTTCTGTCTCTCTCTGGTATCAGAAATGGATGAAATGAAAAGCAGGAACAGCCACATGAGCTCCACACTGGAGGAACGGAGGCGGTTGCTGCTAGAACTGCAGGAGCTGGAGAACATCCAGAGAGGTGAACTCAACTCCAGTTAGCTGCTAGCTAACATTTTAGCTAACGGCTAAATGTTCAGGTCACTTAGCTACACTGAATAGTGGAGTCTTCATGTGAGGACTGTAAGTGCCATTATCACGCCATTTTAATTACATGAAACATTAAACAACAACAATATTGTGATTTATCATTTAGAAAAGTTGATTATCGTGACAGGCCTACTTAGATGGTTAAAACTAGAAGAAAGTGAAGCCACAGTGATAGTTAACTCAGAGGTTGAATTTAAAAGCAGGCCACACTTTCCAGATTTTGTATTTGATTCCAATATCATGTCTGAAAGTTTGTTTTTGTAGCAATATGTTACAAAGTTCAATGGGCAAAAATACTCAGTTAATTCTTTATAGGTTGACATTTATTACCATTGGAATCTTTTTGTATACTTTAAAAACACAAAACAGTTTTTAGAGAAAATATCTTAGTACACAGATAATATAAGTCAATAATTTCTTAATATTAATGAAAAAAGCTTGAGTTCCTTTGGTAGATTATTTTACTTCTAACATGGGAAACATGGAAAAATATCCTTCAAGTGAAAAAATCTGCCAGTGGATCCAGTATTTTCCACATAAACTTTAAGGAATTATTTGCTTAATACAGGCTCCTTTCTCTTCCTGAAAGTTACTTGTAAGTTAGTTTGCCTTAGTTCCACTTATTAGTTGATAATAGACTACTAAAAATACTTGGTAAGAGTTTGTGTTTTTGCAGTGTAAGCACTAATCACACAAAAGGCCTTACAGTGTCTTTAGCCAACTCTACACTTTTTGTATTTGTTCTGTGAGGAAAAAGATTCAAAACTTGTTGCATTTCTTCCGACAGCAGACCTGGATCGGCAGACGAAGGAGGCCCGAGCACAGACTGACTCTCTGGGGTCAGAGGTCGAGTTCGTCAGTCAGAAGCACCTCACGGACAGCACCTGTCTGAGGTAAGCACTTGATCCAAGAAAAAGAAGGAAAACTCTTTTTTCCCTTTATCAGCTTAGGAAGGCTAGTTAGCTAAAGCAGTGGTCCCCAACCTTTTTATTACCGCAAACCGGTCAAGACTTGGAAAATTTTGCTGCGGCCCGGGTGGGGTGGGGGGTGGGGGGGGAGGGGGCTGAACCGTCAGATAAGGCTTCTGCATGTTGGTGTTCCCACTAAATCCTGAATATACCCAATTTGCGTTGTGTTGGCCTTTTTATCACAGCCTGTGGGGTTTACCCTGACTGGGAACGAGAATACAACCTGTTGAATGTGACAGGTAGCCAATCAGAAAGCGTGGTGATGTAAGAACAGAGGGGAATCCCAAACAGCTGACATATCACGCAACTGAAAGTCCGGTGGATATCGGAGATGATATGTGGAAATGTTAATTATTAAATCTAAAGGTCATTATTATGTTTATTCAGTTAAAAATGTTAACTATGAAAAAACTGAGTCGCCTCCAAATCATAGTGCAGCAAATAGAGCGGCTGCTCCCGCTGTCTTTTATCCACTGCCTTTTATTTTTGTTACGTCTTTTATCTCTTAAAATGAGTCCACAAACTGTCACTATTGCTTCTACATCGTCATCCGTGTTTGGTCATTCTAAATTCCCGTATGCTATGTTGGGGGTTTTGTGGATTTTCTTCTGGAATCGCGATGTTCTTGACTGGAATCGGTTCGTGTGGTGTGCTGCTTCTGCCTTGGACACATGAACCTATTGAACCTGTTGTACTTTTATCAGCTCAGTGGTCACAGAGGTTTGGCGAATCGGCCGACAATCCTTAAATCTTGCCGTCTAAACCAGACTTAAGACTCACAAGCTCTACTCATCTCCTCTCGACCACTGCCCAAACGCTCTCTGACTCTGGTCGCTATGGTAACATTTACATATCCCTTCAAAATAAGATACAGATCCGCCACAAAGACAAACATTTTACTTCCGTGAAAATTTTAACTCACGATAACGACTAACGGGAGCCCTGAGCTTGTTTCTCTGCAACGAGACGGTCCCATCTGGGAGTGATGGGAGACAATGACACCCGAAGTGTTGCTTATATCCACAGCCTGCTTGGTCTCTACGTGGCAAAGCAGTTTGAAGCTTCATTGCCTCATTAGCAGCCGGTCGCCGCATGTTACACAGAGCGGCTTGTAATGTGGGAGTCACCTACCGGTCCGGGATAAATCCATCCTCCTGTCTCTTCGCTGGGCCTTTTCCCCTTTGCAAAGAAAATTTCCAAAGACATCTGATCTGTTTCTTACTCATTTTGCTGCTTGTAAGCTCAGTGTTGGCGCGCAAGTAATCGAGAGAATCCGGTTGAAGGATTTTCAAAATAAAAGATCCTCCAGACTTAATACATAAAACGGAAATATTCAATTATTTCTTGCGCGGCCCGGTACCAATTGGTCCACGGACCAGTGCCGGTCCACGAACCGGGGGTTGGGGACCACTGAGCTAAAGATTCAATGTGTTTTTTTTTTGTTTTTTTTTAAAGGTTTTGTTGGTTATAGTGGCCTTTATTTGAAAGTAGTTGATCAGGGAAGAGAGAGAGGGAAATGAGAGAGGCGGGAGACATGCTGCAAATGTCGGCAGGCCGAGAATCGAACGTGCGATTGAGGACTAAGGCCTCAATACGTGGGTCGTACTTTGCCCCTGCTCCACCACAGCACCCCATTCAATTTGGCTTGAAGGCTGCAATAATCCAAACAAAAGGAACCATGCCTCGGACAGAAAAGCTGTTTTTTAAAAAAAACTGAAGGTTTGAATCAGAAGGTGCTGAATGAAGCAGTCGTGTATTTGTGACTTTCCTGGCCGGTGTTCTGCTCTGGAAGTGTAAATAACAGCATTAGGGGTATTTGGCTTAATTAAGGCTTTGATCCACGTCGGCGTGTGTTTCAATCAGTCGACAAGCAGAGGGAAGACGGATGGGAATTCCATGTGATTGATGCTGGGAGGTTATTAAAGGAAAATGGAGTGGCAAAGAAATACAGCTTGGTTTTAGTGGGATAGCACGTCATCTGTTGGCTGGATGAAAATCTAACACCAGGCTGTCAACTTCTTTCCAAAGGTTCTTATATTTTATGCACTACAAAAGAATCAGTGAAGTTTTGTCGCACTGAAATAAAATGTTCTTGTTCTTTCCTTGTAACGGTGCTTTTTTACATCGCTTTACAACTAGGTCTGTAAGTGTTAACGTGTCAACACATGAGATTTATCTGAAAAGTTTGATGCGTGAATATTACATAACACATATGAATCAAACTACTATTTTGAGCTAAAATAGGGCTGCCTATTTCACAGCAGTTTGTTACAGGAGCAATAAACAACGAAAGGTAAAGACTTTCTGCAACAGCAGACAGCAACAAAAGTTGAATATTTTCAATTTTCTTGTGTTGCGTTGGTAGTCTGCGTTGTGCATGTCCATATGTATGAGATCAAAGTTTCACATGTACAAATTACGCTGACTGGGTGAGGATGAGGAGTGACTGTCGCACAATTTCCGTAAGTAATGAATGAAAACGGACATTTCTAAATGAACCTTTTGAACAAAATAACCTCCTTTAAATGTTCCTGAATATAAAAACATGGAAAACTGAGAATCTTCAGAAATATTTGGATTGAGGCAATAAAACATTGTTTTGAAAATGTGCATACAATGGTTGTTTTTGGCATCAGAAATGGGCTGGGCACCCAAAAACTAGAAAATAAAATGTATCTTATCTGTTTGCTCCTACTTGTATGCATGTGTAGTGGAATAAATTTTCTTTAGACTACAGTATCTGCTTTCCGCCACTATGGTATAAAAAAATAAATTATCTCATTATTTCGAGATAGTATCTTGAAATATTGATATACTATCAAGACCCAGGATAAAGAGGACCTCCCCTCTCGATCTGTGTTTCCCTGTCATCAGACATGGTTCCTCCTGCGTCTCCTCGTGGCTCCGCACCGCCCAGTGCACATGTGTTTCGGTGAAATTGTCACACTTTTTTCACGTTTTTGCAAATGCCCTCTCATCAGACGCGCACACTGTAGCCACCTTCTAGGTTCCAAAACCAAACACTTCCAACAAAGGCTGAGGGTGGTAACAGATGGTTTGATTCTTACACACACTTCTGACTTGATTTTTTGAAAAAAAAAGAAAAAAAAAAGAAAAATGCTTTATTTCTTGTTAAAATATCGACAAAATAATTACTAAAAATCTCTTACAACTTAGTTAAAAACTAAAGTTAACTTAATCTGACTTTTCAAGTTCAAAAAGTGGCCAAAAAAATCATTTTACAAAAATCTCCTGTCATCCCACCAGACATTTGCCCAAAACAATAAATCTCCATCAAGCACCCGGTATATATCCATCCATCCATCTGTTCATTTTCTTACACCATTGTCCCTAGAGTGGTGTCAGGAGGGTGCTGGTGCCTATCTCCAGCGAGACATTTTGGACGAGAGGCGAGGTACACCCTGGACAGGTCGCCAGTCCATTGCAGATTATATATATATATATATATATATATATATATATATATATATATATATATATATATATATATATATATATAATGTGTGTGTGTATGTATGTACATATAAACCTTTCTACCAATTTATTTTTCTTCTTTGGACAATTAGAATGCACTGGGCGGTGCGGAGACGCAGGACGAACCGTGTTTGATGGGGCAACGTGGATTGAGAGGGGATGCCCTGAAATTTTGAGATACTATCTCATTATTTCAAGATTTATTTATTTTTTTTGTTTTGTTTTTACCAGAGTGGTGGAAACAGGGCTCTATAGCTTTCTGCTAAAAAAAAAAAAGAAAAAAAAAAAAGTTGTATTTTCATTGGTTGGAGTGTAGCAGGAGGAGGGGCTTATCCAGGGTACCTCCAAGAAACAGCTACATGCATATTTACATTTCAAGAATTGATTTGCATTTTGAAATGCAGAGCAGTATTTAAGTGTGACTCATTAATTTAAAGGTTAATGAGGCTTCCTTGTATCCTTTTCCATTTCTACACTTAAATACTGAATTTCCAGTGTTTGTTTTAACTTTTATATACTTTTTAAATTGGAACAGGAGTGTAAAGTGTGCCAAATTGTCCAAAAAATCACTACAAATTAAAATCAAACAAATCTCTTGGGGGTCTCCTGGAGGAGTTGGGCCCTAAGCAACTGCTTAGCTCACACATGCGTGGTCCCAGCTGTGGCTGTAGGGTGCAAGAAGCTCTAGAATGGTCAGAAAGCCTAAACATTCATCCAGGGCATCAGTGGAAGGATTTAGCTCAAAGCAGTGTGGTCTAGTCAAAGTGCTATCCTAACTCCATTTGAGGATCTGTAGTAAGACTGGAAAATCCCTTATGTCTAAATGTTGTCCTTTTCTTCCAGCTGTTCCATTTGCTTTATGTCTTATTTGTATTTGTTTTGTCTTTCCTTGATGTTTTTTCTCACATCCTGACTTTTGCTTCTTCTGCCTCATTTTATTCCTTTCTTTTTCGTCTTCCTTTTTTCCTCCATCCTCTCTACCTTATTTTGTCACTTCCTTTCTTCCTTCCCCATTTAATTTTAATTTTCTTCCCCTCTTCCTTCCGTACCACCTCATTTTTCTGTCTTTCCTTCCTTTTTTCTTCCCTTGTGTCCTTTCTTTCTTTTCCTGTTGATTTCCCCTCTTCTTTCCCTCTTTGTGACCTTCTGTTTGTCCTTCCTTTATTTCATTTCCACTTTCGACTTTCGTACATTTCATTCACTCTCTTTTTTCCTTCTCTGTGCCTTGCTTCTTTTCATTCTGTTTCCTGCTTGCTTCTTTTCTTCCTTGTATCCTTTTCCGTTTCTACACTTGCACTCTCCCTTCTGTCCTTCTTTTCTTTTCTTCTTTGTGTTTGTTTTCCCTTCCTTGTGTCCTTCCTTCTTCCCTCCCTTGTCACATCTATCCTCTCCTCATTCCTTGTGTTCCTTCTTGTAGTTTCTGGTTTTCTAGATCCCAATCTAGAAATATCTGTGATGAATTCTTGTACTTCCAAACGAACTGTGAAAGTCTTCAGTGATTCGATTTGTTTCTCTGGAGTCTGGAGGTTTTAAACCACAAAGCTTTTCCTCTCTCTGGTCTCTTTGGGTTTATCATCAGCCTGCTGGTGGCGCTGCAGTAAAGCCTGCATGTGTGTAGCATGTCCTCTCCACCCATCAGCCTCATTAAACACATCATTGTCCCCCCTTGGACAAGGAAGTCCTCAGGAAGTCCCGAGGACGTTCCTTTGGGAAGGGGGTGGGGCTTCCTCGCACTCATCCTAGTGATCATGCTTCCTCAAGCAAGACCATCAATCCTGCCTTCAGCCAAAGCTCCATCTCTTTAAAACGCATATATAACCCTTTGCTCATCAACTGGAGGAAATTGAACGCATGTCAATCTGAATGAGTGCTACAGTCGTTTAAAATGTGTTTGGCGTGCAGAATGAGATGGAATCAGTTTGACCATCTGAGCTTCATCAGAGTTTCATTACTCAAATATTACTGTTAAAGTGCAAGAAGGCTCCGCTAGAAGTACTAACATGATTAAACCAGCATCAGAAACACTCCTGTGTGTTTTGATGAAACATTAGAGGAGCCACTCTCACCTTGAAAAAAAAATTGGATTTCTAACTTCCAGTGAGACGTATAAAGTTTTAAACAGCGTTGTAGGTTCTCACAAGGCGAGAAACGCAATCTAAGTGTGGCTGCTTTATTGTTTCATTAACTTCCAATAAAAGCAGAAAGAGGTGGCCGGTGTTCGTCTCATGAGTGTGGATCCCTCTCATACCGGCGAGAAGCATCCAGGAGTCCAATGTTTCTCTAGAGACCAACTGATCTGAGGAAAAACACGCTTTTATCTCCGCTTAGGAGTTATTGTGTGCAGCCGAAACCCTAACCCTAACCTGAACCTTTGTGTGGAGAATCGTTTCTATCATTCTTTCTCACAAAGAATGATATTGGTTCATGATCAGGTTCATGATGCCTCATGAAGCTGAACATTGTCTTGATTTTGGGGCATTTAATTACTTAAGATCTTATTTTTAAGAGTGTTAACTGTTTAACTAAAACTAGGTTAAAATATTTTTAGATTTATTTAGCCTCATAGCATAATTGCCTCTATCACCTTACACATTACAGAATCCATATTTTTGTCCATATTTCATTCATGTACATTTTTGTTAAAATATGACTCAGGTAATTATGCTACAAAGCTAAAGATTTATAGTTGACCGAAAGCCAATTGTAGTTTTTCACATTTTTCGGTGCCACAACTAGAAATGCAGCGATCTGAAAATTTGGCCTGATAATATTTACAGATATTGTATCTACTTTTTAACACTGTGAGAAATGAACACACTGCTCACATCATTTCTCTTATTCAGTTAAACATATTCAAACCCTTCCTCACCATTTCTAGCGTGTTTCCATCAATGTTTATTTTGTTGTATCTTATCAGAAACAATTGTTGGAAATGGCAAATTTAAAAAAATCTTACTCATTTTTTTTTTTAAATAACACACACACACACACACACACATATATATATATATATATATATATATATATATATATATATATATATATATATATATATATATATATATATATATATATATATATATACTGCTCAAAAAAATAAAGGGAACATTTCACTTTAATTTTGTGTGTGGCTCCAAATCCAGGCCTCCATTGGTTAATAAATTTGATTTCTATTGATGATTTTTGTGTGATTTTGTTGTCAGCACATTCAACTTTGTACAGAACAAAGTATTCAATGAGAATATTTCATTCATTCAGATATCTAGGATGTGTTATTTGAGTGTTCCCTTTATTTTTTTGAGCAGTGTATATATATATATATATATATATATATATATATATATATATATATATATATATATATATATATATTATTCAAGGATGAGGAGTGGAAGGCAGAGGCAACAAAAATGATAAAAACTTTGACACAC